AAAAGTGCCTGACAGGTTTTTGTGGCACGAACCACATAACCCAGTGATGGTGTCATTAGTAATAAGTCACTCCTGGAAATGACACATTTTCCTTTACTTAGAACGAGTAAGGCTGGTCCAAAGCAGACACAGTCACCAGAGGAAAATCAAGCCCAGCAGCTCTGGGAGCGTGTCTGTGTTTGTGTGGGTGGAGGGCTTCCTTTCTGCCATTTTTCCTTTTTTTTAAGGAAGTTCTCTGCTCATTTGGGAGCAGGGAGAAGGACAGGCAGCGGGAGCAGGCAGGGTGGGGGTCTGGGACCGGTCCGAGAGGTCACCCCAAAGCTGCTGGGGGTGAGGCTTTGGGAAATGGGGAATTCACGTGAATCAGGAACAGGGCTGATTCATCGGCTCTCTCATCCTGACCGCTTGGGGAAAAAAAATAAAAAGGAAAAAGAAAGAAAGAGCTGGCAGTGGGGGTGATGAAATTCAGTGCCAAATGAAGGGAGGGTGAAAGCAGAGCCCAGGCACAAAGGCTGAGCAGGATGGAGAGGGGGAAGCAGGGGGATGCGGTGTGAGCAGGGAGATGGATGAGCAGGGGATGGAATGAGCATTGCATGGAGATGGGTGGGAGCAGAAAAAGCTGGAGAGGGCCCTTGCACATGGCTAGCTGGGGTAGACCTAGAGGGACGTTGCAGGATTTGGCTTAGCAGTGATTAGTGCAAAAAGCCTGCTTTGCACTGATGGAGGGTGTAACAGGGAGGCAGTTTATCCCTTGCTGCAGCCAGGAGAGCATCAGCCAGGAGAGGGCGAGTTGGCCAGGCTGCAGAACAGCGAGATTTCACCCAGTGGGACTGCACCGGGCATTGTCAGTGGGGGAAACAAGGGGACGGCAGGGGGAAAACTCAGCATTTCCTAAGCATTGGGAAGCTCTGAGAAACCCCAGGAGCTTCCTGGAGTGCGGTGAGTAAGGGTGACAGTAAGCAGCGTTGCATCACACCGCCGGCGTGAGCAGGCTCCCACCCAGCACGAGAGGCAGGGAGCCGGCGTTTTGCAGAGAGGGATTTTCCCAGCAGCTCTGGGGATGACGTGTGCCGTGCCTGGCCCCGCCACCACCCTTCCTTCCATTTAACCTGCCGCCAAGATGCCGGGCACAACACAGTCAAGGGCCGAGGTTTTGCACACACACCCCCCCCACCCTCATCATCCCCTGCCATGCCTCGGTCCAGCGTTAATGCATCACTTTAGGCACACATCCTCGCCTTCGGGAGCAGTCACAGCAGCTGAACAAAAACCACGGAGGAGGGCAGCCACCCCCGTGTTGCTCCAGAAATCCTTAATGCCCCCAGCTCTTGGAAACCCTCTCCCGAAGCCCCCTGCCCACCTCTGGGGCTGCTCAGCAGCTCAGCAGCCCGGCTGCCGAGCCAGCACGGCCGGGGGGGAGCCAGCGCCGCTGGAGCAGCCGAGACGCGTGCTGGCTCGCGTGCCCGCTGCCCCTCGCCACGTGCCGCCCTGGCAGCGGCTGCCAGCCACCGCAGGCATCTTAATGAGAGCCGGGCAGAGGCCAGCCTCTCTCAGCCTCCTCTCGGGAGGTTTAAGGGGGACAAGCTGGTGGGGGGGGAGGCTCCAGCACAGGGATGGCAGCATCCCCGGGCTTGCTGGGCTTTTATCTGGCAGGCTCTTGGGGCTGTGCCAGGCTGCTGAGAAAGCTCCAGCACCTGCCCGGGAAGCCCCGTGCAGCTTCTTAATGCCCGTTGTGGGAGCAAGGAGGGTGGGCTATAAAGCACCTCTTTAATGGGGTTTGTGGCGGGTCACCTCCCCCCCTTCCTTATGGGGAGCCTTCAGGCTGGCCATGCGCACGGGGGGCTGGTGGCAAGGATGTGGCTCAGTGGCTCAGGGGGGCACTGCACGTGCAGTTTGCTCTCTGAGGGGTATTGAGGAGACTCGTGGGGCTGGGGACACTCCGTGGGGCTGGGCACACTCCATAGGGCTGGGGACCTGCATTGCCCATAACATGAGCTGAATGTCCCCAGAGACCACCAGAAGGTGACAGCCAAGGCAGTGGAGGGGTCCCCGGTGCCTCTCCCACCTTCTGGTCGCCTTCCATATCCCAGGCAGGTCCCCAACAAACCCAGTTTCATCACTGACATGCTCTGGGGGGAGCCTGGTGAAGAGGAGGATGGAAGTGGGAAGATGGGGTTTTTCCCCTCCTCTGTTTGCCACCAGGGACCACCTCGTCCCCAGGGCTGTGCAGAGCAAGGCTGGGGGTGTTGCTGCTAAGGCCTATTTCTCCAGGGGCTTTGCTGAATGAGCCCCCAAAATCTGGGGGGTTGTTTTCATCCCCCAGCCTTCCCCAGCACCCACCTAATGCTGTTTTTTGGCTCCTTCCTTCATCTCCAGCAGGAGCATCTGCACCCAGACATCTCCCACTTGTCCTATTGTCCCCGTCCCTCACCTCCACCTGACACAGGTGACTGTAGGAGACACAGAAATGCCAAGTTTTGCCATGAAAACACTGTTTTTCAATGGGAATGATTTTGATAGCCCTGATGATCCACCAGCAGACTGTGTGTCCATGCTGCACCGGGAGCAGCTCCTCACCAGCAAGCCAGGCTGGAGGGGAGCATCAGGAAGGTACCAGAGACCCTTAAGCACCCACTTCACCTCTAGAAATCCTTCCCGAGCCTAATTCCCAATGTGCCCAGAGAAAGGAAGACCGCTGGGCACTGCTGCTCTCTCTGAACAAAGCTGTGGCCCGGGGTACGGAGGGGAAAGCCCAGGTATCGGTGGGAGCCCTGCCAGGGACACTCACCGCCTTTGGGATTGTTTGGGAGAGCTGCTTCGCTTTCTAAAAATGCGAGGCATGCTGGAGCAGCCAGCGCGGGTGGGGTGAGCGCCGCAGCGAGGTCGGACCAGCGGCGGGTGCCCGACTCTAGGGTTTCCCCCAAGCAGCTGGTGGTGAGCGTGGGGGAAATGAGGACAGGAGGGACAGGGGCACAGCCCAGGGAGGTTTGCTTGGGGCCAGCGAGCCCCCTGTGCTCCTGGTGGTGCTTCCCCGGGCAGAGGCGGGTGAGGGGGAGACGGCGACGCCGGCGAGCAGCAGCATGTCCTGGCCTGCTGCAGCTATGAGGTCACCCCGCTCCTGGCTTTGGGAGATTTGAAGCCGTAGGCAGCCCCAGGCAGCTCTTGATGGGTATGAACGAGGGCGAGAGGCTGGGGAACAGAGGAGGCACCGCTCACAAGCTGTACGTGCACCCCACTCCCCATGAGCACATTGGATTTCTTTGCCAAACCCTCCACGTTGTTGTACGCAAGTCAAACATGCATCCCATTAGACCCCTTCCCCACCATGCAAACCTTTCTGCCCCTGCTTCCCCATCCTGTGGTCTGCCCCAGCAGCCCCACATGTGGCAGCTCGAGCTGGGGGTGGCACCCAAATGTGCGTGGGGTGGTGATTTATGCTCCTTGGCCACGGGGACGCAGCACAGGGGCGAGTGGTAACCGGAGCTGCGCTGCACCTGCGCTGGGCCTCCTTCCTTCGCTCTGATTTAATGCCCCAGTTGAGAGGTGATGTCATTTCAGAGGGAGCCAGGGAAAAGGAAGTGCTGGAGAAGATGATAAGGTGCTTTAACTCTTCGCCGCCTGGCTGGGCCAGGTTTGGATGCTGTGGCTGGTGTTAGGCACCAGGAAGACTTAAGCAAAGGAGGAAAAGGTCGGTTGGAGGACACCTTCTCCTGGGGCTGATGCAGGAGCTGCTCCCCTGGAGGAGGCTGTGGCTTCCAAGATGCAAAGAGATGGTGATGGAGGACAGCATGAGCATGATTTTGTGCGCTGCTCTGGCTTCTCCATCACCTTCACCTCCCAAATGTGGTGGGTGGGTTGTCTGCAGGGCCAGTCATACCCTGTCCAAGCCTGGGTGCCACAGCAGCAGCCAGGGAAGTGCTCCAGGAGGGTCAGCAGAAATGCTGCAAGGGCCTGGAGAGGGTAAACTGAGTGTGCCAAGGCTCCCCTCTCTCCAAGGGGAGAGACTGAATGGAAAGGTCGTTAGTGAAGGCTTGTTAAAATGTCTTGTTCAGCTGTAGAGATGGGCAGGGATTCCTGTGGTGCTGGATCCTGAAGCTGAGACTTTCAGAAGGGTCTCACAGAGGTGTCCAGGTCCCTATAACAACTGAAGTCAGACAAACCTCAAAGTCTTCTCTGGCTTCTGTCAAACTGCATCTACTCACCTGCATGACAGGGAAAACCGCTGGGGAGGCTGCCTGGGCTGGTACCACCCAGGTGCTCTCCATTGCACCAAGCTGCCACCCACTGCTTGGTGCAGTAGATTGGGTGAGGCTTGCTGTCACATTCAGTACGGCCAGACCATGAAAAACGGCAAGGAAATCTGTTCAGGAGAAATTAAATTTCTCCCCTTCTGGCAAAACCTACGCCGCGTCCCCCTCTCCGTTTTTTCAGGCTTCCTTTTCTAATTAGCGCTGCTGTGCAGAGCAGGCCAGCATTTGGCCATTAGAAAGGCAGGAAATCTGTGAGCGGTGTCACTGCCAGATTGCGTGAGGGTGATGTTCCCAGCTCGAGTGCAATGGCCTGCAGGTTCCCATGTGCTGGTCTGCTCAGAAGTCCCAGGCTTGGGCTTGCTCAGTGCGAGCTCGCCAAGTCATCCTGCTCCGGTGGGTTTTGCTATCCAAAAGTGATCCTCGTTGTCTTCAAGGACTTTCTGTCCTTGTCATTTAGATGAAGTTGTGAGGAGCAGGAGGTGGTGCAAGACAGCCTTAAGTTGCACCAGGAGAGGTTTTGATGGGGCATGAGGAAGAAATTCTTCATGGAGAGGGTGGCCAAGCATTGGAAGGGAGTGCCTAGCAAAGTGGTGGAGTCCCCAGGGTAATGATGGTTGTTGGCTTTTTGCTCTGCAAAGCTCTGCTCTCATTGTCAGGGATTATCACCATTTCATCCCCAGCCCTCTGGGTGCAGGTCCTGATGGTCCCAGCCTGGCTGCTGTGAGCTCAATGTCCCTGTTTTCTCTGCAGGAGGCTTTGCCACCTTCTCGTCCTGCTTCCCGGGGCTCTGCGAGGGGAAGCCCGCTGCCATCCTGCCGATGAGCATCTCCCAGCCGTGCTTACCCGTGGCCAACGTCGGCCCCACACGCATCCTGCCACATCTCTACCTGGGCTCCCAGAAGGACGTCCTGAACAAGGTACAGCCTCACTGAGGGGACACATCTGGGAGAGGGCTCTGTTTGGCGACCCAAAAGTGGGCAACGTTTGGCCGTGGGGAGAGAGGAGAACAGAGGGATGCTGCCCTTTTAACAGTGCTGGAAGGGCAGCGCCGTGATGGCATGGCAGGGAAGGAATTTTGTTTAGAGGAAAAATAGTAACAGTGAGAAGAAAGGAGAAATCATAGTTAAAATGCCACTGGGCACCTACTGCAGGCAGGAGGGAGCCAGGCAGGCGTCCTCGCCCCAGGCAGGAGCAGGGAGAGGGACCGGGGCAATGGAGGGGGGTGGAAAGAGAAAGGAGGGAGAGAGAAATCATATACAGGGAGCAGAAGGAAATGAAAGAGAAAAATGCCAAGAATGTGAGCCTGGGAGCTGGGCTGGCTCCATCAAGCTGAGGTTGGGTTCTTCAGAGCCTGCTGGGGATGGCCCCGCCGCGAGCTGGGGCGGGCAGGGACTGGCCACCAGAGAGCCGGAGCCAAAATATCCTGAGGAGCCAATGTCAGGCAAGAAAATTGATGGTTTCCTTTCCTCCCCAACTCCTCAGAGGGTTCTGTTCATCTTTTGGAGCCGTGTTTTCTGCCAGCATGGCAGTGAGGTGGCCAGCAGATGCTCTGTCAGTAGGCAGCAGAGCAGGGTCAAGTGCAGACATTGCACACAGGCAACACTTCTCCTCTCCAGCATGTCTCAAGGCAGAGGTCCCAGGTGGCTGCTCCAGGCACTCCTCTGATGTGTGAAAGGACTCCTTTATCCCCATATTTCTTTCCTCCTCCTGTTTAATTCCAGGTCTTCCCTGAAGTAGTGCAGGCCAGGCAGCTGGCACAGATGTTCCCCATTTTTATGTGCAACCTGCCCTTGGTTATACAGATGATGTGTGATCTGACGGGAAGGGGAAGGACTGCCATGAATTTTCTGTCAGCAACACGTACGGACAAAGCTGGCTTTGTCCCAGGAGGGAAGGAGCAGAGTTTGGTGTTGATGCAGCACCCTGCAAGCCAGTTCCCTGAGGGGTGGTCCATGGGTCACCCCCTCCTTGCAATTTTTTATCTGATCCTCATTATCTAACACCTCCTCTGTGCCATGGCATTTTACTGAATGAGAAACAAAGGCAGTGATGATGGCCATTGAGTGGTTGAAGCAGAAAAGTAACAGAAAACGGGTCCAGGTTCACTCCAGAGTCAGAAAGCGAGAAGAGTCAGTTCCTCCTGTGAACCAGAGAAGAGTGTGTGTTGTGAGGTATCGGTGGCTAGAGCCTGAAGTCAGTGGTTTATGTGAGCCTCTTCTGAGCTGAATTCAGCACGAGTTAGTGAAGAACTGTGAACATCTAGCAAACCTGAGAACTCCCGATGTGTTTCTGTATGGATCAAGAGCAAAGAAATGGGCCAATATTGGTTAACATAGGGTGCTACTGATAACTCAGCCCACTCCTCTGGTGCGGTGCCTCCTCCCACTCTGAACTGGTTCTTTCTGAGCTTTCAGTGAGAGTTTTCATTGGTTTTCTTTCTTACATTTTCCCATTCTTCTTTTCATACTGGGGTACTTGGGCTTTCTCTTCCAGGACCCTCTTCCAGGACTCTTTGGTCATGCCAATGGGCCAAAGTAAAGATCTATTGAGTTTCAAACATGTCATCTAAATGGGCACGTCCTTCTTAGCCAGTCTGTGCTGAGCATCAGCCAGGTAGCATCAACGGGCTGATGGTAGCTTCAGCTAGGCCAAGAAGCAGCAGGAGACACAGGGGAAAAAATATTGGGATGGGTAACAGCAGGGAACGTGTGGAAAGACAGATCTGCAGCACTCTGTGGCAGCTGAACTCAGCCAATTGTTCGATCCCCTCTTTCCCACCAGGACCTGATGACGCAGAACGGGATAAGCTACGTCCTCAACGCCAGCAACTCCTGTCCCAAGCCAGACTTCATCTGTGATAGTCACTTCATGCGCATTCCTGTCAATGACAACTACTGTGAGAAGCTGCTTCCCTGGCTGGACAAATCCATTGAATTCATTGGTGAGCTTTCATTATAATGCTTACAGACCCTTCAGCTGGCCCTCAAAACCCAGACTTTTCTTCTGGCCGCCTCCACGGTCTTATTCCCCGCAACCCTTGTCCTTTCACACACGGGGGGTTGAGGGCTGGGAAGAGAAGCTAGAGCCATTTTGCTCACCTCATCAACACTTTTCTCTCCATTTCCTCTACCTTGCTCCAGACAAGGCCAAGGTGTCGAGCTGCCAGGTGATTGTGCACTGCTTGGCAGGGATCTCCCGGTCAGCCACCATTGCCATCGCCTACATCATGAAGACCATGGGTATGTCGTCAGACGATGCTTACAGGTAAGAGTTCCCTGGAGGATGGGGAGGGGTTGTGCTGGTGTGCTTCAGCTCAGGGAAGGGAAGCCATCTCTGCCCAGAAGGAGAGGGTGGGAGCTCCCTGAAGTTTTGTCTTGCCATGGCTGAGTCCTGTTGAAACCAAACCAAACCTTCCCTTCACATAGTGCATGCATGGAGGAAGGTTGGGAGCAGTAAAATGAGGTGGGGAGGAGTAAAAACCCCAGAGTCTGAGCGGTGCCAGCTTTACCCTAGAGCATCCCACGGCCCAAGGGGTAAAGGTTCCCCAAAACTCCTTTCTTTGGGAGGTCTGGTAGAAGGTCCTGGATGATGCCCCAAAGAGACTGAGAGGGTAGGGATGACCCACTGAAGGACCAAACACCAACCAGGGTTGTCTGCACTTCTCGGCAGGTTCGTTAAGGACCGCCGCCCGTCAATCTCACCCAACTTCAACTTCCTGGGCCAGCTCCTGGAGTACGAGAGGAGCCTGAAGCTCCTCAAGGCCCTGAAAGCCCAGGGCGACCGGGGAGAGGGAGAGGCCCCGCAGGACCCAGCCGAGGTGTCCGAGGGCGGCAGGCACCCCGCACCGTCTACCTCAGAGAAGGTCGAGGAGGCACCGAGAAGCACAACCTCCGCACCCCCCCCCAGCGACCCCGAGAGGCAAGGTGGGCCTCCCAAGATCTTGTCACCCACGGCGCTGCAGCAGGGACTCAACGGCTTGCACCTCTCCTCGGAGCGCATCCAGGACACCAACCGCCTGAAACGCTCCTTCTCCCTGGACATCAAATCCGCCTACTCCCCCGGCCTGCGGCAGGACCCCCCGGGTCCCCCCAGCACCGGGGAAGCCCCCAAGCTCTGCAAGCTGGACAGCCCCTCGGGGCCAAATGGCCAGTTCTCCCCGGTGCCCGACAGCCCCGACCGACCCAGCGGTCCCGACCTCCTGCTGGAGGCCAAGGTGAGGCAGCGGCGCAAACACCGGCACGCAGCGGGCTCGCCGGCCCACGGGCTCAGCCTCAATGTCGGCACAGCCCGCAAGAGCCCCGGGACAGAGGAGAGCCTCCAGCAGCCGCCGAGGCTCAGCCTTCCTGGCCCACCACCATCCTCCAACGGCTCCTGGGGAGGCGTCCACCTGGAGTCTCCCAGCACCCCGTCCTCTGAAGGAGGCTGGTACTTTGGCACGGACTCAGCCGGCGGTAGCGGCGGTGGTGGCGGCGGTAGCACCAGCGGTGGGACGTTGTTCACCGGCACCAGCCCGTACCCCCCGTTCGGGTGCAACGGGGTGCCGGGGGGCTGCGAGATCAGACTGAGGGACAAGCAGCGGGCAGAGGCGCGGGACGGGAGGCACAGCTGGCACGAGGAGGCCGGCGCCGAGAAGCAGTTCAAGAGGAGGAGCTGCCAGATGGAGTTCGAGGAGACCATGTCCGAGGGCAGGTCCCGGGAAGAGCTGGGCAAAATAGGCAAACAGTCGAGCTTTTCGGGCAGCATGGAGATCATCGAGGTGTCCTGACACCCATCGCGGGCGCTTGGAGAGCAACGGGGGGGGGGGATATTTAAGATGGGGAGAGACGTGGGGAGGGCGGGTGGGGAGTATTTATACCCGTGTGCGCATTTTCGGGAGCGCACATGCCAAAACGAAAGCAAAGAGGAATGAATCCACAGTCAGGAAACATCATGGTGAATGCTTAGTGTCCCCCCCGTTCCCATCCTAGTCCCTCTCTCCTACCCCAGCCCTTGGGTACATCACCCTGGGCTTTTGCACATGGAGCGGTGACAGGAGAGCAGCCCTCAGAGCCCCGTGCTCAAATTTGGGGTGTAAAATTCAAGAGGGAAGGGGCAGGAATTACAATTTGGGGTCGGGAGGGTGAGCAGAGCCTGCTCCTGACTTGGGGGGGGACATGGTCCCATGGGGACGGGGCACAGCACCACTCCGTCAAAGTGGGGAAGGGGCATCCCAGCCACCCCCTCCCTGCACCCCGGTGCACTAAGCATGCGCCCCCGTGTTTCTCTGGCTGAGTATCCTAAAGATGCTGCACTAGAGCAGCCCTATACATATATAAATATATATTATATATAATATAAAGAAAACACACACACACACACAAAGAAAAAAAAGGTAAATGGTTTTACTGCGATTTTTATTGAGACGTAAATAATATTTCAATTTTTTGTTTTGTTTTTAATTTATTGAAGCTGTTTCATTCTGGCAATGATTTGCAGACAATGTGGGGCGGTACTTTCAGCTCTATTTTTACTGTGTATGGTATTTAAATCTGAAATACGAGTTTCTAAGCAATATCTGAGGCCTGTGGCTCCTTCTATAGCTCATGTCGACGACAAAGATTTTCCCCCATTCCCTCCGGGTGCAGCGAAAAGGGGACAGAAAACTCTTCGGAGCACTTTTTCTAGAAATGAACAAGTGAACAAGCAAGATGTAAAATCTTCTTGCAACACAAACTGAGCCAGAAAACTTCCCTTTCTGGAAGCTGCTGCCGCTTCTTCCCCTTTTCTTAGTCCCTGTTTACTTCTCCTCATCCCCGCCCTGGCCATTGTTCCCATCCCAGACATCATTCCCATCCCGATCATCATCCCCATCCCAGCCATCGACCCCATCCCAGTTGCTACCCCCTTCCCTCCCCTGGGCTGCCCTCCCTGGCAGGAGAGGAAGAGGAGGGAGTCACCCGAAATGGAGGGAAGGGCACTGGGCATCCCTGGGGATGTGTGGGGAAGAGGAAGGCATCCGATGCCGCTGCAGCATCAGGAGGGGAGGTCGCTGATGGTTGGGATTTCATGGTGGGGGTGTTTTGCCTGCTGTCCCCAGCCCTGAAACTCCTGGGCTGAGTTTTTTTGGGGGGAATGTGTTTGCGGGTGCTTCCCCCCTTCCCAGCTGCCCATACTCATGGGGAGCCAAGCCCTTGCCCCTCCAAAGCCCGACTTCAGGCTTGCTGAGAAGCTGCTTTCTGGAGCTGTAGGCACTGAGCTGCCTCTGCTGCAAAGCACATCTCTCCCTGTGGCTGTCTTTGCTTTCTCCCTTGTCTCGCGCTAGTTTGCAAAGCTAATACCTCAGGGGTCTCCGTTCGTGCGTGTCCGTGTCCTGTGTCATCCTTTGAGCAATTTTTCTTTTCTGGATCCGCACAGTTTTTTTCTTCCTTCCCCTCGTTCCTCCTCTTGTTGTCCGTTTCTCTCTCTAGATCCAGCTACACGTGACAAAAACAAGCAATCTCAGGTTTAAAGGTGAACGCAGCCCAGAGGCACGCGGGGCTGCGATGATGTGCGGAGGGGCAGCTCACTCCAGCTGCCTGCTCCCTGAACTCCTCTGCCTCTGTGTGCATGTCCACAGCCGAGGTGAGCCTCCCTGGAGGCTCCTTGCTGTCCTCGGCTTGGCTTTATTTTTCCTGTTTTTTCAAAGAGGTCATGCTGGGGAGCTCCCATGTGCTCCCACATGGTACCCCAAGGTCCCTTAAGAGCACACCATCATCCGTCATTGCCTCCAGCAAACGCCTCAAACCAGCTGAGTCTTGCCAACCTGAACCTTGGAGTAGGTAGAAAGAGCGTTCCTCCTCCTGGCTGTGTGGCCACAAGTTAACCTGATGGTTTGAGAGAGTGATGATGCTGGAAAATTAGCGCCAGGGCTTTTCAGGCTTCGCCTGCTCAGTTTTCAGCCCCTCACATCCTGCTCGTTGTTGCCTGCTCTGCCAACCTCATCCTGACGACAACCTCATCAACCTCATTTACAATCTACCCTTTCTGCCCGTCATTTGTGCTGTGTTCTCATTGGAACTTGAAAAATTTCTCCCTCCTGGCCACAAAAGGTAGACAAAGTCATTCTCTGCCCATCGCCTCCTGCTGCTCTGGGTGGTGACACCTCTTCTTGAGCCCATCCCGTGGTCCTCGAGTGTTGGTACCAGCTCAGGTCAGACAAATTGTTGGCAGGAATCTGTTAGGTGGGCTCTGGCCGGTGAAGGGGGGAGTAAGGGACTTCTCAAGTGATTTAATAGGAAAAGGACGACAACAGGTTGGCATGGCCATGTGGGAGGATGACAGGAGGCAGTAGCAAGGGCTCGTATAACTCATCCTGTTAGCAGACGTGATGTGCTACAGGAGCCAAAAAGCAGCTGGACTAAGTCAAGGAGGAAGGGGAGAGTGGTGTAGATGAGACACTAAATGTCTGCAAAGAAGCAGATATGTGGTTTGCGTTTTGTCATCTCCACCCTGCCGTGCCCCTGGATGCTCCTCAGCTCTGCTCGAGGCTCTGTGGGCTGCTCTCTCCTCTGAAACCAGAGCACACAGAAACCTTTTAAGACTCATAGATAGATCATAGCTGCCAGGAGACATTCACCACCCACCTCTGCAGCCTTCCTTTGACGTATTTCATATTCATTCTTCCCCTTGATGCTGGGTGTGTGCACCAGAAGCCCTCTCATGTGCAATATTTTAAGGCTGCATCCAGAAAACACCCCTTGACAGGGCAGCTCTGCCTGATTGTCTAGTGCCAGTGCTGACCCAAAGCCATGAGGGTCACCAAGGGGCTTGCAATTAACTTCAGTGTTTTTTTTAAATCAGGCTCTGCCTTGTGGACCACTTTGTCCGTGAACCAGAGAGTTACTGTGAGGATGGACATGTGGTCTGGTGGCCTTCCTCATCATCTCGTGGCCAAGCCTTTTTACGGGCTCTCCACCCCGATCCAATGAGGATGGATGCCCTTGTGGTGGCAGGAGTGAGGGCAGAGGAGAGGAAAGGTCCCTCCAGACCAACCCTCAGCTTTCCTTTAGGCTAGGGGGGACACGGTGCCCTTCCCTGAGCCCCATGGCAGGACCTTTCCCACCCGCAGCTTGGAGGCTGAGCACAGCTGGAGGGAGGGCAGAGACCAGGTCGGCAACACCGAGCCAGAGGCTTGGGTTGGAGCAGGCTCGTCCCTAGCCTCGGCAGCAGTGTCCCCAGCCCCTGCTGCCTTCCCAGCCCTTCTCTTTGTTTCTTTGGACCTTCATCCCTGTTATGTCTGCCCCTTAGGAGACTGTGCCCCCACAGAACCCCCTCCCGCTGTCCTGTTCCCCCTACCACTCTTAATACTAATGATAATAAGCTATCAGTGTTGTCATTGCAATCTATGAATGATAGATTTGAGTATTTATGATTATTATTATGATTATTACGGTTATGATTCTGTACTTTTTTGCTTCTTACTCTTTGTATGTTGCTCCTTGTTTCTCTGTTGTGAATAAACGCAAGGCCCCATCACACCTTCTCTCTGCTCCCGAGCCAGAGGAGGCAAACGCTGCCCGGACAGACCCCTGTCGGAGGGTTTGGAGCGGGATGTGTCCCAAGGGCATAAGGACACCCGAACCCAGGGCAGACCCATTCTCTTAACTCTTCCCTTCCCTCCCGCAGCTCCTCTCCCCCCCTCTGCTGCCTGTCTGCAAGGGGCAGGAACCCGCTGGCACCGAGGCCGGGGAGTTGCATGGTGAAACGGTTCGAGTGTTAGCTTCGAGGGGCATCCAGCTCACCGAGGCAGCTCCCTCCAGCTCGTGGTCCTCTCAACTTCTTCTCTGGCTGCACCTCGAGGCTGTAGCTTCACCTGGAGGGGAGCGGGGTGTGGGTCAGAGGGTTTGCCAAGCCCCCGCTCGCCCCGCTCAGCCCTGGTGCTCCGTCCCAGCGAGGTGCCCTGGGTTTTTCTGGTTTGAGCGGCCTCCCTCCACCTGGGACTGATAAACCAGGGCACCGCAAGCAGGCAGAGACCAGTCCTTTTGTTTTTTTTATCCCCATCCTTACACAGCTCAGAGGTTGCGGGGAGACTGGAAGGGGAACATTGTGCCAGGAGGAGACATGAGGGGAAGGGAAGAGGAACCCCGTCTGCACCACGGTGTGAAATGCCCTGCACCATGTGCCCCAGGAGGGTCAGCCTGATCCCAGGGGCTTAACGCAGCCCAGACACCGTCTGTCGTGACTTCGCCTCGTCGTGGGCTGGGCTCCTTCCCATCGCCTCGTGCTGGACTCATTCCTGGAGCTGCTCCGAGACCGTGCCGGAGCTCAGGTCTCGCCCCACTCTCCAGATCCCATGGGGAACCCCTGGGGTCTTGCTCCGGCATCACCCTTCCTACCTCACCACGCTCGGGGCAGATGGGGAGGGAGTGGGCAGGTGCCCCTCAGGCTTAGCTCCCGCCAGCATCCCCGCAGGATCGGGCCCTTCCCCAAAGACCACAGCATGGGGATGGGGTCTGCATCCGCCACAGGGGTCCTGAGCAGGGAAGAGATGCTCCGGACACCGGCCACACCATGTTCCCTCCGTCACTGTCAGTGTGACCGAAGGCAGCTCCGTCCTGCCCCCTCGGACCCAGAGAGACACCCGGCCCCTGCCCCCTCTTTATTTTATTTATTTCCAGCAGCTGCTAGCAGCAGGGCTTTTCTACCCTCTCTTTCTTTTCCTTTCTTTTTGTATTTTGGAACGGCGTGTTGTAATAAATACCCAAATAGGTGTTTTAACAGCTGGTGTCGGCCTTGGTTTGTGGGGGGGCTTTTTGGGATGGGGTTGGAGGGTCCTGTTTTGGGGAGGGCGACGGATTTTTGGCTGCATCCACCAGACCTGGTGGAGAGCTGGACACACAGCCAGACCCACACGTATTTATAGGGCCCCATGGCTGGAGCTGGATTAATTCGAAGCAGAAATAAGCTTCACGGCTGAGCGAGCAGGGGGATAAAAGCTAATTGGGGCATTCGTGGACCCACAGACAGGCAAACGGCCAGGCGGGGGGTGTATAATGGTCTGTGGCTCCCACCGTGCTGGTGGCACCGTTTCAGCAGAGGCTCTCAGGAACATTTCCTCGTGTCCCCTGCCAGGAGTTTACCTTGGAGGGAGGAGAAGCCGTGAGCAGGCTCCCCGCAGCGCTGGCTCCAGAAAGCTGCGGCACTCATCAAGCCACGCAATTATTGTTACTGAGCACGGAGGGGATACCCAGCCCCCAGCAGATGCTGAAGCTGCAACCCAGCTAGATCCCCTCGCCTCCCACGAGCCCGCTCCCCTCACCCCGCTACAGCCACCGAGCACTTTCCTCCCCCTGCCCCTCCTGGCGGTTTGCACGGCGCAAACCATTACTGCAACGAGAAACCCAGGAACGTTCTTTTTCCAGCTCTCGGGCTTTTATTGACTCGGAATGGCTGCCAAGCCTATAAATAAATGTTCCTTGCACTAAATATAGCAGCCACTGAAATAGGGCTGCCGTCTATTTATTTAGCTTGTGGCCTCTTTGAAAGCTCGCCAGCCAGCGCTGCCTCTACCTTCGCTGCGTCCCACCCGGGGCCGCGGCCACCCACCGCGGGGGCACGGCTGAGTCAGCGCAGGGAGAAGGGATCACCCAAAGCCAGCCCTGTCCCAAAGGTCCCCACAGCCGGGCTGTCCCCAGTGTGGCAGCAGAGGGTGCAGCAGACCCCCCAGCCCTTCCCATAGCGCTGGGGTTTAGGGAGTGTTTGCTGGGGCTGAACCACAAGATGTTTTCCCCTCCTGGGAGGACTCAGGACCTCAGGTGTGAGGACTGCTCTTGCGCTCCAGACACTGCCCCAGCAGCAGAAGGATGGCACTTACCTTGGGCTGCGATGGTTCCCTTGCAGCCCCATGCCAGCAAAGGGGAAAAAAAACGTCACTCCCTGGAAAGCCACATTTGCTCCTGGAGCAATCCAAGACATTAATAACGCTTAGCACTTAGAGCAAGTTTTGCTAAACATGAGCTAATCCTTACAACACCCATGGGAAGGAGAAAAGTAATTATTGTTATTGGGCTTGATTTTTCCTTTCCCATGCACCCCTGCAGATGAGGATTGGCTCTACCAGCCCCAGATTGCTCTGCAAATCAGAGGAGGAGCACACTCAGCCCAGTTTTTGCAAATAGGAAACCTGGAGCAAAGACGGCAGGCTATTTGCCAGAGGCCACACAAGAAGGCAGAGTACCTGGGGGAAGTCCTGGCCCCTAATCCCATCCTGTCAAAGGGTCCTGGTCCCCTTGCAGGTCCTCTCCTGGGGGATGCCAGAGGGATGCTTCGTATGGCTGCTCTCCTTCCTCTCCTCCACAGTGTCACGGCACGAGGTGGTGAGACACCCTGCTCTCAGCAGCAGCAGATGTAGATAATGCTCACGATGCACCACGCCGCCTGATTTTAACCCTGGCAGAGCTGAGATGCTGCTGGGGTCCCTGCTGGGTGCAGAGGGCTTGGGTTCAGTTGGGAAGCTGCAGGTGAGAGAGGAGGTGGGCGCCCAGGTGATGGGCATCACCCTATCAGGGTGCCTTACAGGCAGAAAGAGGGAGAGAATGCAAGACAAGCCTGGGGACAGCTTTTAGGTGGACAGCAGAGCCAGGTGGCTTGGGACAGCATCCTGGGGAACAGCACTTGACCGGGAGAGGGATGCAAGCTGCCTCCCACCACAAATCAAGCAGAAGGCACCCCAGCATGAGGGATGGCCCTACCATTTGGAGGGGCCATGTTATGGACACAGGTGGCATGGGAGAAAGGAGGGGATGCCCCTTTCACTAGTGGCTCTGCAGTAATGGGGGGCTCCCCAAAACTAGAGATGCTTTCAACGCCTCCATTTTGCTCCCCAGCCACGCTCTTCTGTTTGGCTGAGAGCCCCGCGCTCGGTGTCTGAGTGGAAATACCGTCTGTCAGCGGTACCCAGATGATGTCATTTAGTTTTCCAGGCTTCTGGGCTGAGCCAGCAGCTCGAGCCAGTATGACTGGATGGCCTTTATTTAGCAGGAGCCCAAGCGCAGCCGAGCCCGGGTCTCGGTGGCACCTGGCAGCGTGTTGCGCCCTCCGCGGCGTCTCCACCGCTGATGCAACCCCGGCTGCGGCGGCGATGGCAGAGTGCCCTGAGAAGGTCGCTTTGGGGAGGCTCAGCCTGGGACCAGGGAGTTGGGCGGGTGGCAGGGGGATGCTCTGGGGAGCAGGGGGTGGCACTGCTCAGCTGTGCTGCCCATCGGCCCTGGGACCTGACCTGCAGTGGGGTGGGAAGTGTGATGGGTGCCCACCAGGCAGTCCTCTCCCTCTTCAGCCATGCCCTGCCAACCTGCAGGTCCCTCTGGGCAATGTGTGTGCCCAAGGAGCTATCAGAGCCCTGGGTGCTTTATTTCCCCTTGAGAAACTCCATTGGAGCGTGGCAGCATCCTCATCCCCGCATTTACTCTCACCAGGCTGGGTTGCTGTAAACAAGCAAGCGGGCGGGCCCTGGGTGCTTTTTAGCTGGAAAGCAAATGGTTTCACCCCTCCTCCTTCCACTGACACCCCCTAACCTGCCTCTTCTCCCTCAGCAGCAGCTCCTGACAGGCGAGCGGCTAAGAATAGCCCTGCTGCTGGCTCCAGGCTGGTGCTGTTTGCTCAGTGACTCAGAGCTGGCCGGGCAGGCACTTACTCAAAGGGCCCCATTACTCATCCGTCTGCATCGCCCCAAGGATGGGGTTTGTGTCTCTCGCTCGCCTCTCCTTTAAAGATGCTTTATTTATTTCTTTTTAATCGAGCTGTCTTCTGCAAAGAGAGGTCGTTACCCTGCCGTGGATTTACCACTAAATATGTTTGCCCCGATCCCAAATGCTGCAACCCCCATTTATCACGCTCCCACACTGACAGCCCCATGGTCTTGCTCCTGCTCAGTGCCCTGCCAGGGGGAAGCTGCATGGGCAAGAGAAAATGCCTCCCAAAAATCGCATTTGAGGGCATCCATGCTGAATGCTGGTGTGGAGATGGCCATGCCCAAATCCACCCAGACCCTTGGATGTTCCCATCCTGCCACAGCCCCTGCTAATTGCAACCCTCCCTCCTCTCCGCCTCACTGCCCAGGGGATCCTGTGGTGTCTGCAGAACACCTTGGCGAATTACAACAGGCCTCCTCCACTTCAAAAAGTGGCTCCAGTGACCAGAACCAAAAAAGACACCATCTTCCCCATCTGGTTTGCTCCCCCGAGGCGCTCTCTGAGTCACAGCCAGCTGTGCTGGGAACAGAGCTTCATCCTGCCCGGCTGGCGTGCGCCTGTCATGACGTGATGGCCATCGTTTTATTCTCCTGCCTCTGTTTCAGCCCCTGGTCTCCCCTTTTTTTTTTCTCTCTCTTCCAGGCTCTAGCCCTCTCCCTACCCTCTTACTTCATGGCATCGCTCTTCCCCCCTCCCACCGTCAGGGCAGGACCTGCTGCACCCACTGGCTCCTCGGCGTGCGTAATGGGCTGACATTATCTCCCCGGGTCACTCCGCTTTGGAGGATTACCTCACTGAGAAAACAGGCACCGGCATGCACACTCGTGCACACCCATCTCATGCAAACAGATCCACCCGCACAGGAACAGGCAGCAGCACAGGAAGGTGCACCACAGGCCAGGCGATAAAGGGGTGAACCAGAGCAGGTGAGGACTTTGTGGCCCCCACGTGCTGATGGCAGGGAGGTGGTGGCACAGGGTGGTGAAGAAAGAGGCTGCTTTAATCCACAGGTGGGAAAGAAGTGCTAAGATCTGCCCCAGCTACAGCTCTATGGCTCCATGCAGCCCTGTTGGGTGGAGTTTGTGGTCCCCAGCATCCCTCTGCCAGGTGGGCCTGTGCAAGTAGTCTGGCTGGATTTAGGATGGGGTGCCTCTCCTCACCGCCCTGCCCTCTACACAGATGCTAAGGGCCTGATTACGCATGGCTAATATGGGAGGAGCTTCTCCATCCATCCATCCATCCATCCATCCATCCATCCATCCATCCATCCATCCATCCATCCATCCATCCATCCATCCATCCATCCAAAATGAGCTAGCCACCACACAAAGCCCTGCACAGGAGAGCTGGGGGCTTGTGCCCCTGTTTCCCCAGCTCTGCAGCACCAAGCCCAGCAGCTGGGGACATGGGACAGAGGGAAGCAGGACCCCAGGGCCCTCCAGGACAGCTTTCCCCGGCACCTGCCTCAAAGCTGGGGTCTGAGCAGGGTCCCAGCCGTGCCAAGAGCTGCGTCCTCACCCTGCAGAGCCCCGCAGCCCTGCCAGGGACCAGCCTGCGAGCAGCCTCTAGTGGCAGCTCCTGACAGCTCTCAGGGCTCGTTAAACCACCAAAATTTTGTCTGCAACAGCAGGTGATGGGAAAGGAAGTTCAGCCTCGTTTCAGGCCCTCCAGGAGCAATGCTCAGTGCCTCACTGTGCGGGCGTCCCATCCTGGCCCCTTCGTTGTCCCCATGGAGTGGAGGGGCCCTGTTGCCTTCCAGATCCAAGCACCAGGAGCTCAGCAGTCCTCCCAGGCTCAGCCCCATCATTTATGGTGTGAGCCATAATGCTGCAGCCTTCAGCACCCACAGACCTGGCTTCAAGGCATGGCTTCAGCTTCAAGTACATCACCAAGTCAAAGCACTGCCTTTTGCTGTGGTGTGACCCTGGGGAACAGTGGGTTCAGCCCTGGGTGCTGTGAGGGGAGGGAAAAGCTGCTCCCCCAGTGCCTTGCACCCCTCCAAAGCCAGGCAGCCAGGAATCAGCACTGAGATCTCTTAGGTAACAGAATAACCTCTTCAGGCATGGGAAATCTCCTCCTTTTGGTTATTTAATGGGGTGTTTTAAGAGCTATTTAAGAGACAGAGGTATTTAAGAGGTGTGAATGTGGCCCTAAGGGACATGGTTTAGTCCTGGAACTCATCAGGTCAGCCTGATGGTTGGACTTGGTGATCTCAAAGGTCTTTTCCAACCTAACTGATTTTATGATTTTATATCAGAGTGGACTGAAAAGAAGGCAGCCAGCAAGATAACCCAGGGAACTGCAAGGAGTCATCTGGCTCGCATAACCTCTGTGCTTTCACCTGCTCCACCCCTGACGGCCGCTCAGCTGCGCATCTGGCAGCACCTGGCCAAAGACCAAACCTTGATCCCCCTCCTCACTAGAAAATTGCTCCGTGTGCTGAGAAGTGATGAAAAAGGATCCTCCTGGCCCTGCACTCTGCCTTGCCACCTCCCAGGGCTGCGCCAGGCAGAGCTGCTGACAGATGCAGAGACAGCACCAAGCCTTCCTCCTGCCCGGACTGCCTGCCCTTGGCTCCTGCACCCACCGAAGCTCTTAGCAATGAGCTCACCCCTCTATTATTGCTGATCCAGGAGTCTGGAGGCTCTCGGAAGCATGGTATCGATCCCTGCCTCTTACACGTCCCCCCCAGGGCTGCAGTTTCAGGAAAGCTCTTTGCCTCTCCCCGCTCTGCCTCTCCTTCGCAGCCTCCAGGAACGCGCTTCCAGGGGGAGCTTGGAGCTGGGGGCCAGGACCGTGGTGAGAGGGATGGGGGCTAAGCCTGGCCTCTGTGCTTTGGCTGTCCATGTGCTGGGAAAAGACACAGTGGGCATTTCATAAACTCAAAAGAAGGTGCAATCTCCCCCTTCCCAGGGGGTTACGGGTGGAGGACCCCTGGTGCCCTGCATGGGACCCAGCCCCGTGTGGTCTCTGGTCATGGACAGCATGGACTTTGTGAAGGCAATGTGCCCGAGGTCTCTTTTCTGTCCTCCCTCTACCAAGCTTGCAGAGGTGCTGGTGTGACTTGTGCCAGCCAGGAAGCAGGTGACAGCAGTGCCCCTGTGCAAACTCAGCCAGCGGCACTCACAAACAAGCTGGCTCATCTGCCGGGCAGCACTCGCTTATGGCAATGATCAACTCAGCAGCATCCTGCTGCCTCTAGAGGGAAATCCTACTGTGGTGAGGGAGAGGCAGCAGGGCAGGGGATGCTGCTACTTCTCGTCCTACCCGGACACTCTCCCTTGGAGGGCAGACAGGGGCTCAGCCTGTTTGTGGGGACTTTTGCCTTGCAGACGGGAGTTTTGTGAACGCTGCCAGCACCATGCCAGAGCAAATAACCCCACTCCGCACCCCAAAGGCTGCTTCTCCCACCTGTTCAGGTCCACTTTGCACATGCAGCCAGGTGCCACCATGAGGAACCGCAAGGCGGTCAAAAGAGGCTGGTAGAGCTACAGCCAGGAACCAGGGCTCCTTGCCTTGCTATGACACAAACAGTTTGCAGCCCAGCCCCTTACCAAATGGGCTGCCTCACTCCCCCCACATTCCCAGGAAGACTTTCAGGTGCCTGGGTATGCTTCATAAATGACTAATGAGCCTTGCAAACATTAGTGCTCTGCCGGCTGCCAGAAGCAGACTGAGATCAAGCCCTCCCTTGCGTCCATCAGCTCCACCCAGGAAGCAGACTTGCCTTTGACAACAACCACAATAAGAAGCAGGCAGCCAACGAAACCCACAGTGCCCTGAGCAGGAGAGCTGTGATGCTTGCATCACAGGAAGGGAGATGGAGATGGAGAAAACCTCCTGGGAAGGGGTGACTGTCCATGAAGGAGAAAACCTTGTACCTGGCACCAGCCACCTTCACACTGGTCCTTGAATCACAGCTGTGGTTTCTCCCTGGAGGCAGGTTTGGGCTCGCATGGGGAAGTCTCTCATTTTTGGGGTGGACTTGCAGACAACAGCCTGTGGAGTGGGCAGAGGAAATCTCCATGCTCAAAACCAGAGTTTTTCCTTTTAAAATTGCTCCCGCGGCTCTGGTTTGCAGATGGGATGCAGGAGTAGATGCTTGATCTCCTAGAAGGACCAACAGGTGGACTTCTGTACCCCAAGAAGATATACTCCAAGGACTTATTTCAGCTGATCTCACACATACGAGCGATAGCCCTCCAGTAACAACCCGTGGTGTCTGCTCTAGGTGGCGGTTCTCTCATGGCACCACTGGATCCCCTTACATTTGAGGAACTTGCCCTGGACAAAGAGGTCTTGCCCTCATCCTACCCGCCTGCATTTCAAGCACATTAGCACATTTTTGTGTGCGTGGGTCAGAATTTAGCTGACTCCTGGCACTTATTGCCCTCACAGCTCTGAGTCAAAGGAGGAAGAGGACAGGTCACCTTCCACTGCTGATACTACAAAGTAGGCATGAAATAAGCCTGACCTTCGTGTACTGCATTTGCTGGAGAAATCAACACTTCCTATACATAGAAAAATCAATGAAAAGTGACTTACCAAATGAATCCCTACTGATCTTGGCCCAGGACAAAACCTCCTACATCAAGAGGGCCTCACACAGCCACCTTCCAAACCCCAAACCAAAGCCTGAACTTCCCTCTGTCAGGCCTATCTGCCCCCAGCTAGAAACCGTGAGCGACCCTGGCAGAAATCTTCCTCCCGTGGCTGCAGGAAGGGCTCCTGCTGCTCTGACGGCCATCAGATGGTGCCATTGAGTCTTCTGTGGAAGCCAAGCCCCGAGGAGCGCGGGTTTGCACCAGGGACCATGTTGGCTTCTCGCTCCATCTCGCCCACTTCCAAAAAAAAGACCAAGCGAAGAGATTTTTCTAGCATAGTAAAGCAAATGTGTTTTTTCTGCTGTTGCCAACGATGTTAGCAAGCACCCATGTCACTGTTATTAGTGGGTTTTGCACCAGTCTTGCAAGACAGGGTATATTCTTGCAGCTGGACTCTAGTGATGCCAGGATAGGAGCAAGTGATAGCAGTTTAGGAGCATTTTGGCCTCAGTTTCCCCAAAACAAGGTGTGTTTACTACTGGAAAGATTTAGAAAAGAGGAATTGAGATCAAGCCGAGCAGAAATGAAAGAGGAGCAGCGTTAGCAAAAGCTCCCTTTCGCAGTGATGTGGGATGTGGGACGTGCTCAGGCAGTCCTAGAGAGCTCCCGTTTGGGGTGAGCTCCTGGCCACCTCCCCCTGCTTCTTCCCTTTTTGTTTTTAGCACAGCATACAAAACAAGGAGAGGAGGGTTGTGCATCAGGGCACGCTGCTCGCAGTGCTCTCATCACATCTGATGTCTCCCCTCCAGACATGGGGCCGGCATGTCCCAGGGTTTTGAATTAATAATTCTCTTAGAGGCAGGCTGTGGTTTGCAATGGCCAGAGCCTGGCACTGCCGTCCAGCTGAGGTCTTTACCTGGCATTGCAAATATGCAGAGATAATAACTGATTACTGCTTTTCCTGGGTTGGCTTTGGGTTTTAATTGTGTGAGATGAGAGAGGAGAAAAAATGCCAGCGAGATGAGGAAGGCTGGGGAGGAGGGCGAGGAGAAATCATTACAATTGCATTTAGTCAGTGATAAGCATGGCTGCTGAGCCGGGCTGGGTGCTTTCCAAGCACGGTGGGAGCCAGCTTCAATTTCACAGCATAATCTTTCCTGTGGCCTTAAAATAACTTCTCCCTGCCCCCAGGGTGTCACAGGAGCTGAAGAGCCATGTGTGCCCCTTCCCTGAGCAGCCCCACGCTCGGCGCTGCCTTATCATCACCTGGGGGCTGCTTTGAGAGCGGTCACATCACACATGTCACACTGAGACACCGAGCTCTGGGGCAGAAAGGGGACATTTTGCAGACCTGTGGTCTCCCCAGGAGGGTGGCAGGCTGGGGACAGTTGGCTGTTTGCGCTCGTCTTCAGTGCCAGCAAAAGAGCAGCTTCCCCGAACCACTCGGCAGAGATGGGACCTCGTCACTGTCGGGGCTAATTGCTCATGTGAGACGTATTTACAGAAGCAACTGTTTGTGCAGAGCAAGGCAGACAAACAGACTCCTGTTCTGCCAGGCACCCTTTGTAATCGCTGGGGGCTGGGAATCCTTCCATGTGGGCATGGGAGGCCTCGTTTGTACCGCGGGCACCAGTCCTGCACCGGGCTGGATGGCACTGGCAGGATGCTGAGCCCCCGTCCTGACTCCCAGACCACCAGGAACGAAGGCCAGGTCCTGGCACAGGAGCTTTGCTGTCCCCACAGCTTGCAAATTTGGGGGTTCTGCAGAGATAAATCCTGCCCTGTAGAAAAAGCAGGTGCAGCTGGGGGGGACACAGCACCAGCCCTCACACCGTGCTCCTTCAAGGAGCCAGAAAGTTGTCCTGTGCCTCTGCAAATAATAGCTAAGGCTGCTTGCTTAAAAGCATCCAAATAACAGACTGAAATAAATCCTTCTGCCCATTCCTCTGTTGCCTGCTGGGTTTGTTTTGTTGTGTTCATGGATTTTTGTTTGTTTGTTTGGTTGGTTTTTATGAGGTAGAGGCCTAGGGGGAATTTTGCCATGTGGGAGAGAGATGCAGCATTAGGCAAATAATGCAATTTCTGGCACCATATCCATCTTCCTGCACAACCAGTGGGGATGGGTGATCCCTGTCTTCCACTTCTGTGCACCACCTTGTCCTTGCAGGCAGCCCACAAGTGGATATTCCCCTCCCAGTGTGAAAACGGATCCCCTGCTCCCCTCCTCCTGCCCCTTTCTCTGCCCTGAGACAGGCAGGGCGATAGGATACACTTGGGGAAGAGCTTATCAGTGAGGAAAAGCAGCATCGCCTACAGCAAGATGTATGGGATCTGATGTGCCAGTCCTGCTGCTCCTTTCTGAGTGAATATTCAATTTGGTTAGTGCTGGTCGGGCTAAATGAGAGCGTGGCTTTAGGCACGGTTTGCCCACAATGGTAGCACCAGCACAGGGTCAAGTGGAAACCTGTGCTTATCAGGCTTACGGAGCTCTCCCCAAACCGTGGTCCAGAGCAGCTTCATGGTGGTCATCGGGATGTACCAAAGCTTCGTAGCTGTAACTCAAACTTTTAGCTACCATTCGCTTTAACATCATTTTGTTTTCTCACAAACAACCATTATCCCTCAGTTGGAAGAACAGATATCTGCTTAATTCTGAGCACTCCTAAGCAATGAAGGTTTCAGAGCATTTCCCATCATCTCTCACAAGACGTTTGATGTAGAGGGAAGTATTGCTTTCATTTTCCAGATGGGGAAACTGAGGCATGAGGAAGGTGTTGCTCAATAATACTCAGTGGAGGGAGGGAAAAAAAAAAATCCTCAGTCACCACTAGTCTCGTGCTTTAACATCCACTCATAAGTTGTTCTGTAAAAGAGGAAACATCCAATGTTTCTGTTCTCCTGTGACAGGGAGATTGAGAACATTTTTATCTGGAGATTTACTCTGTTCGGCATCTCTGGAAATGCAGACACCCAAGCACAGATTTTCAGCACGCCTCCCCAAAGCTTCAGCCCTCTCTTAGGCATCTAAACATAAGCTGTATTTCCTAGCTAGTTGGGTTCAATATACCTTTTTTTTTTTTTTTTTTTTTTTTTTTTCAGTCTGGTCCTCAGCATGGTTGATAGCCTAGTTGCAAGACAATATCTAAAATGTCTTACTATTATTGGCAGCAATCAATATTTATAACCACTCACAGTGTTTATTTATGAAAAAATCAAATGTTCCAACCAAGAAGAGATGCTGTTATTAATATCCAGCATGATTAACGATCACATTGCAGGCAGGCCCACGCTGTCAGACTCATGCACTTTGCTTTTTCTAGTGGCTCTGCAGGAATTTGAACCATAACATGTTTCATGCACAGGGACAAAGACGTTTTGTCCCAGGGAAGGAATATGTGCATGTTTTTGACTTAAAGAGCCAGTGCCGCATTCAGAACTTCACAAACACACCATTTTGATCCCAAGTCCATCGGTCTGTCACTGAATGTGTAGTTCCTTCTGCAGCTGAAGGTCTGGATCTGAGCGGCAGATTTCCAGCCTGCTAAGCTCCCTGGGAATGATGTTGCCTCAAATCAAGAAGAGAAAACTCATACAGCAATGCTTTCTCCTGCTCCTTAACCATAACCACAGCCACACTTAGGGATAGAAAAGGGACTGTGCAAAGCTCCTGAAACCATTTGACCTCTTTGCTCTGTTACTCCTGTCGAGGTATCAGCTCTGAGGCCCCTCGGCCCCACACCAAACAGTGGGATGTGGAGGAGGGACAGGTGTTTCTGATGCAATATGCCAGGGAGCAAAGGTCACTTCCACTCCTTAGCGCTCCACAGCCTAAGTCGATGTTTGCCCACCTGCGCCTTGCGCTGTTCCTGCTGCAGGAGGCAATGTCAACAAAATCCCAGGCAGTAAAGACAGTTGCAGAGAGCCTGGTGCCTTGATTACTTCCTCATAGCCACTTGTCCCTTTCAGCACCGCTTTATTACCGGCTGGGCAAAGAAGCCAACTGGAAAGCCAGTATGAATATGGGCTATATACGACAGACTTTGTCTGCGCTGCTATCAGATGTCCTGTTTTGTACAAATCTGGTCATGAGAACTGCATGAGGGAAAAATGAGGAAGGAAACCTTCAGGGTGGCTATTCCAAGGCAGCTCTCAGCCACCCTGAGCCAGCCTGGGGACTGCAGTACCTCTCTTCAGGGGTTATGGGACCTGAAAGAGCTCTCTGGTAGACCGGGATAGCCCTATGTCCATGCTGTCCGGTAACTTCCCTCCCTACCACATCTGTATGTCAAGCATCGTCTCTTGTAAAGCATCTTATATTCAAGTCATGCAGACTCTTGCAAGCCTGTTGCCCTGAAAAGGACCACCCTTTTGCTAAAATGTGCATAGGGTCTGGCACAAAAGAGCCCTACAGCTTGCTAGGCTTGCTATTGTCAAACAAATAATGGCTGCAATGCATTTTTCAGAGGGTTTAGAAACAGAAGGAGAATTACAGGACAACCACTGGAGACTGCTATTGGATAGACACATCCTCTGCTCTTCAGAGATGCTGATGGAGAGATGTTTCAGCAGGGAAGAATGAGAAATAGCGGCTCTGCCAGAGGGATTTCTAAGGTTTCCAATGGCTGAGGAGAGAAAGCAAAAAGCAGTAGCTATATCGTCTGCGGTATCAACTTGATGATTGAAAAGAAATTATAAAATAATCATCTGAAGAGAGACATACATAAATGCCTTGTGACACTGCAAAGTATGTTACAAAATATTAATAAAATAGCTGTCAGTTTCCTGAGTTGCTTTTGCACCAGTAATTCTCCCAGTGCCAGTTGCTGTATGTTTTCCTTGATACAATCAGGAGAAAACAGCTAATGTGACATGACAAACTCATTGTATTAGAAGTCATCTCTGCTTTAAAACGTGTGTCATATGACTGAACACCCTACTCTGGGTACAATGCACCCCACAGTAAAATTGGATAGAGCTCATCCTTAAATGCCCTGCCAAAAGTGCTCCTAACAAAGGGCAACAAGAAAACATAATTCAAATGAGGGACATCTGTTCTCTAATGTTTGCAGATAATGACTGGATCAAGTGTCCGCATAAAGGATAATTATTTTCTGCAGATGGTTTGATCTGGTGTTTTAAACATTGTAAAAAATCTTTGTCCCAAAAACTCCACGAAATATGTGGGGTTTTGCTAGCCTCAGACCTCTTTCCTGCTCTCTGGTACATTCTGTATGTGCAAGGGTAGATAAAAGGATAAAGGGTTAAAAAGTGTAGAGCTTAGTGATATGGTTTAGTGGAGGACTTGTTAGGGTTAGGTCAGAGGTTGGACTCGATGATCTTGAGGTCTCTTCCAGCCTAGAAATTCTGTGATTCTGTGATTCTGTGCTTCAGCTTGAACACACACAATGTGCATTTTTAAGTTCTGGTCTTCCATTTTTTTTTATATTACATTAGTGGATACCCAAATAATTCTCAGCGTGAAGTTTTATTATAGGAGAGTAGCAAAATAAAACACTTGTGCGCTGTGAAAAGGGATCCCACAGCGTATTTCACTGCTGCTGCTCCTCAAGCAGCCTGCAAAAGGTGGTGCTTCCCTCAGAAACCTGGCGGCCTCAGGCAAAAAGGAGCTCACAGGGAGCCCTAGCATGTACCTATCAATCACCCACAGCGCAGATTTTTGGGAACAGGCGCCCAAATTGTGCGATCTCCCCCAGAGGAGGCACATGGCTTGAGGGGGGAAGGGCGGGACTACATTTCCCAGCGTGCCCCCGGGGGCAACAAATGGAGGAGGGGGCCGCTTCCGGGTTGGCGGCTGCGGGGCGGTGCCAGCGCCGTGTGTTTACTTCCGGCCGCCCCGGTGCGCGAGTGGCGGCGCGGAGGGGACGCGGCCGCCGCGGGACGGGGACGGAGACGCAGCGCGGCCGGGAGCCGGCAGCCAGCAGCGGGGCGGCCCCCAGCGGCACCGAGCCGCCGCCAGGCCCCGCGGGGACCTCATGAGCCGGCGCTGAGAGGGAGGAGGCGGCCCAGGGGAGCCTCCCGGGGCGGCGGGACCCAGCCATGGACTGGCTCATGGGGTGAGTGGCGCGGGGGCGAGGCGCCAGGGCGGAGGGGGCGCCCCCTCCTTTTTGGGGTGCACCCCTATGGATGTTTTTTTTGGGGGGGCACTCCCTTTGGGCACCCCCTTTTGGGACCCTCTTTGGGGAAGCCCGCTTTTGGGACACCCCCTACTTGGGACCGCTTTTTGGGGGCACCCCATTTGGGAACCCCTTTGGAGACTCCCCCCCTTTTGGGGCTCCCCCCAGTTGGGACCCCTTGGGGGAACAACCCCCCTTCGGGGCACCCCCCCTTATGGGACCCTCTTTTGGGGCACCCTCCTTTGGTGCTCCCCCCTTATGGGACCCCCTTTTGGGGCTCCCCCATTTGGGGTCCCCCTTTGGGGCCACCCTCACCCTGCACCTAGCAGGGCGGCTGCCTAACGGGCTGCGGGCAGCGGTGCCGGCCGGGGCTGCCTCCTGGAGCTTCTCCGGGGTAGCCCCGCAGAGCTGGAGGGGAGGAGGAGGTGTGGAGGAGACCTCGCCTCGTCTCGAGCGGTTGCTGGCTGAAAAAGTGACTTTCCATCCCTTTTTTTGGGGAGCAGGAAGGCCAGACGTCGCGGGTCTCCCCGCTTCCTCCCGGTTCGGCGGCTGCCGCAGCGTTAGGGTGTTTTCAGGCTCGAGGCTTGCCAAGATTTAAGTGGCTTTCTGTGGGGAGGAAGAGGAGACCTCAGCAGAGATTAAAGCCAACTCAGAGCCACGCCAGGGGGCTCGGATGGCCTGGGATTAATGGTGCTAATTGCTTAGAGACAGGAGGTAGAAAGCACTCTGCTGCCGGTTTTGGGATTGAAAGCCTCAGTCCGGGAGAGGGTGGTGCAGCTGATGGGTGACCTGATGTGCAGTTGGTGTGTGAGGGAGG